GGTCTGTACCTGCTTTCAGGTCTTGGGGTCTGTACCTGCTTTCAGGTATTGGGGTCTGTACCCGCTTCAGGTCTTTGGGTCTGTACCCGCTTTCAGGAGTCTGGGGCTGTTCATGGTTTCAGATGTAGGGCACTGTACTATACCTGGTTTTAGGTCTCGGGTCTGTTCAGGTAGTGAGTCGAACCTTCTAGCTCCAACACTCATCAGTTTCTCCACCCGCTCTGAGGTCATGTCTAAAGGACTGGGAAGCTTCTTGCAGACCATGGCTGCACCTCTGGTCAAGGAAAACTGAAAACCATCAAAGAACTGAATAACCGGTTCCTTGAGGAGCCAATCAGCAAACAGGATTCATGAAACTTAAAGGATACCAAGGACAGCCTGAGACACTGGTAACCACTGGTTACAGATAGCAGACAGCAGCACCTTAGGGTCAGAGTGACGCAAGTCCCTGTCCATGACCTTTACCCCCAGTGATGTCACCACCTTTTCCACATTTTCCTTATCTCTGAAGACAGAAAAGCAAAGCAGAACTTAAGGAACATGACGACAGCATGATGTTTGTTTTTAATTTTCTGATGTCTTGCTTAAAATTTTCTGATAATGTGGAATAATCACAGAAATAAGGTAAATCTAAAAATGTTTTTCTGTTTCCAAACACCCAAAGCACCGGGACCAGGGATTAAAGCAGAAAAAAAATCTTGACTGAAATGTTTTCTACACCTAGAAGTTACCCCCAAGCACCCCCCACACATCTGAGAGCTTGTTCCAGCACACAGGTCACTTCTCAAGTTTTCTAGTAAAGAGGATTATACTGAGTAAATGTATCTGTGTACATGACCATAGTAAAAAATACACAGTACAATGAGTAAATGACCTTAGTAAAAGTATGCAGTATAAGGAGTACATGACCTGAGTAAAAGTACACAATAGTCTGTACATGACCATAGTAAAAGTACACAACATACTGTGTACGACCTTAGTAAAAGTGCACAGTATACTGTGTACATAACAATAGCAAAAGTACACAGTACACTGTGTACATGACCATAATAAAAAACCACAGTATGCTGTGTACCTGACATTAGTAAAAGTACACTGTATGCTGAGTAAATGACTTGGTAAAAGTACACTGTATGCTGAGTAAATGACCTTATTAAAAGTACACAGTACATTGAGTAAATGACCTTAGTAAAAGTACACAGTATAGTATGTACATGACCTTAGTAAAAGTACACAGTATAATACTGTATGTATATGACCTTAGTATAAGTACACAGTACACTGTGTACATAACCATTGTAAAAGTACACTGTATGCTGAGTACACTGTAGACTGTGTACATGACCATTGTAAAAGTACACTGTATGCTGATAGACCATTGACGTTAAAGATACTGAATCTTGGGCCTCACACTAAAATACAAATGAACATTTGAGGCTCGGAGGCAGAATAAAGTCTCAAAACAAAAATAATCTATAAACAGAACTTTCTTTCTATAAACTATTGTTATATTCTGTAAATTTTTATATGTACAGAAAACTGCATGATTAAAACAAAGTGCTGTGTTGGTCTGAACGTACCTTCTGGTAACGACTGCATCGTATAAACTCCAGATGTTATCGAGGACGAGCTGCACAAACAGAGGTTTCTTTCCTTTGGCCTGCAGGAACACAACGTGGAAACACGACTCGTCTCATGCACACAAATCATTTCAGTACTTCTGCTTCTTTGATTCTCCTTGAGTGGATCACAGCTCGATGTGCTCATGTCGGTGAATCTAACTGAGCTGCTGATCGGTTCTCAGTCTGAACGTTTAAAATCTCTTGGTTCCTCTCACATCACAAACCCTACATTCACCCTTTTTATCTCCATTTCATGAAAATATTCAGGTCAACTCCCAGGAATCAGATGAGAAGAGCCTGCACCTGTTAAAGTACCTGAGCTCCTGTCATGATCCTCTTTGCTTTGAAGTTCAGATAAAAATCTCCCCACAACGTTTTCAGCAGGACCTCGGTCTTTATTCCCATCCTCCGTCTGTAGATCTCTGCAAACTGCTGGATGCTGAAAAACACACATAAAAACAGTAACGCGCAAGTTTCCAAGCATCTAAAGTGAATTTGTCTGATCACAGCAGCGTCGGAGTGGAACGACACTCTGTCTGAAGGCTAACGGAGCGACTGAGTCCTGAAGTACCTGAAGCCCCACCCATCGATGGCGCTGGCAAACACCACGTTCCCCTGGTCAGGAGAAAAGTAGAGATGGGAGTCATCGACGTCCTCCAGCCCGGCGCTCCAGTCATAAACCTGGTCTTCACCCGAGACCTCCTCCTCCACCTTCACCTTCTCCTTCTCCTCCTTCTCCGCTCGCTCCTCCAGAACTTTGGACGTGAACAGAGTTCCTGTCACTGCGTTCACCTGCAGAACAAACAGCCTTCCTTACACAGAACCTGGGGGAACCCCGCACCTACAGCCTGATGTTTGGCACCAGGTGGAGCCCTCACCTGCTCCAGGATCTTCTGCAGGTGGATGTAAGCTTCCAGAGGAGTGAGCTTCAGCTCCAAGATCAGTCTGTCCATCTTATTGATGACGAGAACCGGTTTGATGTTCTCCAGCCACGCCTGACGGAGAACCACCTGGGTCTGCAGACAGAATCAGTTTAATCAGATGGATGTCCCCCCCCACCCCTGACCTCTTCACCAAACTGCTGCTGACAAGACCAAGAACGTTCCCATTAAATACATGTTTTTTATGGGCTCGCGAAACTAAATCAGACGTGATGATCTGTTGGTCTTATCTGAAGTAAAAACTCTGAAGAGGCTGGACCAGCAGGTGAAAGGTGAGCAGACGGGTGGTGTTTACCTGAGGACACACCCCTTCCACAGCGTCAACAACAACAACAGCTCCGTCACACAGACGCACCGCCGTGGACACCTCTGACGAGAAGTCCACGTGACCCGGAGAGTCGATCAGATTTATGAGGTACTCCTGACCACCTGAGGAGCACAGAGAGAACAAAACCCAAGGTTCAATCAAAACCATCTTCAGAACGTCAGAAGCAGAGCTCATTTCAAACGGACCGAGGCAAAATCCAGAACAGTTCTCAGGTCAGACGGGTCCAAATCTCAGGTTCTGTTTGGAAAACACGGACACCCCGTCCACTGTACTAAAGAGGAGCAGGACCATCCAGCCACTTACCAGTGAACAGTTCAGCAGTCTGCCTCTTTGATGGTATGGGGGTGCATTAGTGCTTCTAACATGAGCAGCTGACACAGCTGGAAAAACTCCAGCAATGCAGAAAAAACATCTGTAGGTTTTAGATGTAAATGTTGGCAGCAGCTGTCAAAACATGATCACCCACCTCTCTTCTTTGGTGGTGGGTGATCATGTTAGATATGTTTACACGCGTGGCATTTAACACTCATTTTGACCCAAGGGCAGCAGCAGGGTCCTGGTGCTGTGACCAGGAAACAGGTGACACCTCTACAAACAGACTCCCAATTATTCTCCATGCTGAAGCTGTCTGCTGCAGGTAAGACACTGACAACACAACATTTCAACCTTTGAAAACAAACAGGTTCATTTATTTAAACGTAGAAATAAATGTTTGTGTTTCTGTCGGTGCCACGGCTGCTGTGAACTGGATCAGTACCGGTGCTGTAGTGCAGAGAGATGGCGCTGGACTTCATGGTGATTCCTCGGACCTGCTCATCCTCTCTGCTGTCCAGATACCTCAGCTGGAACATCAAGACAGAACACTGAACAGAGCTGAACAGAACCTCAGCTGGAACATCAAGACACCACACAGAACTGAACAGAACCGGTCCCAAACACAATCCCTTACCTTCCCGGCCAGCCGGTTCGATATGATCCCGTTACTCGCTACGAGGCAGTCAGCCAGCGTGGTTTTACCTGAAAACATGGATCATCAGTTCAGATTTAAACAGGAAGGAAAAACTAAACATCAACTGTCTGACCTGGGTCACTGACCAGAACCTCAGCTTTCAGATCCAGGTTCCTGGTCTGACTCCTGACCTAGGTCAAAGATCAGAACCTGAGACCTCTCTCAGGTTCCCGGTCTATGGGATTAAATTGACATTTGGGACTAGTTTGAAGTACTTGAACAGAACCTGCAGATGACCCAGATGAGACCACCTGAACCTCTGTCTTACGGGGAGCACGTCTAAGGTTTGGCTGGTCTCACTCAGACCCATCAGAGCTAAGGTTCTGCTCGGTATCCGATCAGACACAGACCCGACACGTGGGTTCTCACCGTGATCAACGTGGGCTAAGATGCAGAGGTTCCTGATGTTAGCCGGGTTCCTCTGCAGAACCTTGATCCTGTCCAGGTTGGTGGTTCCCATCCTGAACCTGACGAACAACAGAACCAATCTGAGCGGACCACAGGAGCAACCGGACCGTTTATCAGGGAACACAGAAAATGTTAGCAGCAAACATATATCTATGGCAGCAAACGCTCGCCTTAAAAACAAAGAAACTCAGACAGAATCAGAAAAAAACAGACAAGCTGGGTCAGACTCGGTTCTGACCGGACTGGCTAACATGAGCAGCTAGCTCAAATCAAACCCCGGAGCGGGAAATGTTCACCGACTTCTGTCTGAACATTCTTAAACTCATGTCGGCGGCGGACATACTCGTTCTCACGCGGAAGTTGGTGAGACTAAACCACGCCCACCGGCCGTAGCCCGTTGGTGCTGCATTCACGGTACATGGAAAAAGTGAGAATTATCATGATTCGTCTTCTTTTTCTTCTTCTTCTTTCGGCTTTTCCCTCTTCAGGGTTCGCCACAGCGAGTCATCCTCCTCCATTTCACTCTGTCCTCTGCATCCTCTGTCCTCACTCCAACTACTTCCATTCAACCTTTATTTAGACAGGTTAATCCCATTGAGCCTCGGGGACTCAAGAGCGACCTGATTTTATCAAAGAGTGATGACAAGATCCATCCATGTCCTCTCTAACTGCATCTATATGTCTCCTCTTTGTCTTTTTCCAGGCAGCTGCATTTCTAACATCTTTCCACCAATATTCCCACTGTCCCTCCTCTGGACATGTTCTGGACCTTCTCAGTTCTGGACAGTTCTGGACCTTCTCAGTCTGGCCTCTCTAACTTTATCTCCCAGTTGTTCAGCCTGTGCTGTACCACTGATGATCTCATTCCTAATCTTATCCATCCTTGTCACTCCTTAGGAGAACCTCAACATCTTCCATTCTACAGGTCCTTCTCAAAAAATTAGCATATTGTGATAAAGGTCATTATTTTCCATAATGTAATGATAAAAATGAAACTTTCATTTATTTCAGATTCATTGCACACCAACTGAAATATTTCAGGTCTTTAATTGTTTTAATACTGATGATTATGGCATACAGCTCATGAAAACCCAAAATGCCTGTCCCAAAAAATTAGCATATTTCATCCCACCAATGAAAGACAAGTGTTTTTAATACAAAAAATGCCAACCTTCAAATAATCATGTTCAGTTATGCACTCAATACTTGGTCGGGAATCCTTTTGCATGAATGACTGCTTCAATGCGGCGTGGCATGGAGGCAATCAGCCTGTGGCACTGCTGAGGTGTTATGGAGGCCCAGGATGCTTCGATAGCGGCCTTGAGCTCATCCAGAGTGTTGGGTCTTGCGTCTCTCAACTTTCTCTTCACAATATCCCACAGGTTCTCTATGGGGTTCAGGTCAGGAGAGTTGGCAGGCCAATTGAGCACAGTAATACCATGGTCAGTAAACCATTTACCAGTGGTTTTGGCACTGTGAGCAGGTGCCAGGTCATGCTGAAAAATGAAATCTTCATCTCCATAAAGCTTTTCAGCAGATGGAAGCATGAAGTGCTCCAAAATCTCCTGATAGCTAGCTGCATTGACCCTGCGCTTGATAAAACCCAGTGGACCAACACCAGCAGATGACATGACACCCCAGTGACTGTGGAAACTTGACAATGGACCTCAAGCAATGTGAATTCTGTTTCCTCTCTTCCTCCAGACTCTGGGACCTTGAATTCCAAAGGAAAAGCAAAATTTACTGTAATCAGAGAACATAACTTTGGACCACTCAGCAGCAGTCCCAGGCAAGATGCTTCTGACTCAGTCTCTTGTTCAAGAGTGGCTTGACCTGGGGAATGCGGCACCTGTAGCCCATTTCCTGCACATGCCTGTGCACGGTGGCTCTGGATGTTTCTACTCCAGACTCAGTCCACTGCTTCCGCAGGTCCCCCAAGGTCTGGAATCGGCCCTTATCCACAATCCTCCTCAGGGTCCGGTCACCTCTTCTCGTTGTGCAGCGTTTTCTGCCACACTTTTCCCTTCCCACAGACTTCCCACTGAGGTGCCTTGATACAGCACTCTGGGAACAGCCTATTCGTTCAGCAGTTTCTTTCTGTGTCTTACCCTCTTGCTTGAGGGTGTCAATGATGGCCTTCTGGACAGCAGTCAGGTCAGCAGTCTTACCCATGATTGCGGTTTTGAGCAATGAACAAGGCTGGGAGTTTTTAAAAGCCTCAGGAATCTTTTGCAGGTGTTTAGAGTTACGTCGTTGATTCAGATGGTTAGGTTAATAGCTTGTTTAGAGAAACTTTTCATGATATGCTAATTTTTTGGGACAGGCATTTTGGGTTTTCATGAGCTGTATGCCATAATCATCAGTATTAAAACAATTAAAGACCTGAAATATTTCAGTTGGTGTGCAATGAATCTGAAATATATGAAAGTTTCATTTTTATCATTACATTATGGAAAACAATGACCTTTATCACAATATGCTAAGTTTTTGAGAAGGACCTGTACTACTTCCAGTGTTCTCCTCTTTTTGTCCATGTCTTCGTCTCCAGACCATACAACTCTGGTCTTGTACTTTTCCTTTGAACTTTGTCGACACCCTTTTGTTGCAAGTCACTCCTGAAACTTTTCTCCATCCTGCCTGGACTCTCTTTTTCACCTTTTTACCACATTTCCTATTTTCCTGGAGAGTGGACCCCAAGTACTTGAAGTACTGGACCTTTGTGACCTCTGCTCCTTGTAGCCTCACTGTTCCACAGTAAGGCTCACCAGAATTGTCACGATAGAGGAAAAATAATATAATTGATTTCTGTTGTCAGGCAGCACGGTGGCGCAACTGGTAGAGCTGCTGCCTCTCAGCAAGCAGGTCCAGGATTTAAATCCCAGTCCGGGGGCCCTTCTGGGTGGAGTTTGCATGTTCTCTCCGTGCATGCGTGGGTTTTCTCCGGGTACTCCGGTTTCCTCCCACAGACCAAAAACATGCATGTTAGGCTGATTGATAACTCTAAATTGTCCCTAGGTGTGAGTGAGAGAGTGAATGGTTTGTCTCATTTGTCTCCATGTGGCCCTGTGATGGACTGGAGACCCGTCCAGGGTGTACCCCGCCCCTCGCACAGTGATTGCTGGACATGGGCACCGGCGGCCCTCGTTACCCAAAATGGAAGAAGCGGGTAAAAGATAATGGATGGATGGATGAAATTAAAAAATATATATATGTTTAAACCGAATTAAAACAGATGAACAGAAATGTGACGAGCTTTTTGGGATTTTATGACTTAAGCTTTTTAGAGGGTTAAAATAATGAATATAGCTCTGAACCTTCTCTGAATATTTACACAAAATAATGATCAAATGTCTGTGTTCTCCTTGTTTATTAAATAAATAATATTAAAGAAGAGAAAACAGTTTCAGTGTCAGACATTTATGGATGTCAGACGAAAATTTCACTAAGAAGCTGAAAATACAAAAGGAGGTGGGCAGTTTCTGTTTCACTTGAACTACACGTACATGGCTCAACATTTAAATATTTTAAATGAAACATCATTAACAGGCTAGAGTGAAAAAATTACTTCAAAATGTATTTCTTTAATTTAAGCAAGACGGGTAAAGAAAAGTCAAAATATTTTTTTCCTTAAAAAGGTTTTAATGTTGTCTGATAGAGAGCATTAAATTTACGAGTTGTTTGAAAATCAAGTCAGTGAATTAATTGTTACACTTCCTGTCAGGTAGATTAACGGCACGTGAAAGAAAGAAGGGTTTAATCTGTGAGAAAAACTGGAGAAGAGGCTTCTTCCAGAGGAAACTGATGAGTTAAGAGTGGACCATGCAGTACCTTATCCTGACCGCACGGGGCGCACCTGAGTGCGCTCTAAAAACACCGGAAAAAGAAGAATAAAAACCGGAAGTAGCTTGAAAACATGGCGGAAAATTGTGTTGACCCGTGTTGACAGTCCCAGCAGGGCAAATGGTCATAGTCTGAAAGTGTTCCGCTTTACGGTCGGATTTATGCTGTTTTATAATCATGTTGTCAAACGGAAGAAATCCAGGAGTTTTCCTAAAGACTTTCAATCATTTTCAACACTTCAATTATCGGACAGAATCATTGAGAGGAACCATGAAGCTCCACAAACACTGGTTCTGCTGCACACCGGAATCTCCACCCAGAATCAGATCCAGACCTCCGTGGAGACTCATGTTCTTTGGTACCGATCAGTTCGCTGTAGAATCCCTGAGAGTCCTCACAGACAGCAGGTACTGGTTCGACCCGAGATGTTTTCATTATTTAGACCAGTTCGACTCGCAATGTTTCCATTATTTAAACTGGTTCAGTCCACAATGTTTCCATTATTTAAACTGGTTCAATCCATAATGTTTCCATTATTTAAACTGGTTCAATCCACAATGTTTCTATTATTTAATCTGGTTCAATCCACAATGTTTACATTATTTAAACTGGTTCAATCCACAATGTTTCCATTATTTAAACTGGTTCAATCCACAATGTTTCCATTATTTAAACCGGTTCAATCCACAATGTTTACATTATTTAAACCGGTTCAATCCACAATGTTTACATTATTTAGACCGGTTCAATCCACAATGTTTACATTATTTAGACCTGTTCGACCAGGGATGTTATCGTTATTTAGACTGATTTGAACTGCAATGCCATTATTTACCATACCATTTTATTTATAGAGCACTTAAAACAGCGACAAGGCCAAAAGTGTTGTACAGACAGAACAACAGGTAACACAAAGCAACATACAAAATGAAGTAAATCAGAATATAGACATAAAAACGATGCAGATAATAAATATGACGACATTTTTACGACATATTTAGATCGTTTCGACCCATGATATTATCATTCATTTATTCATTCAACCTTTATTTATACAGGTTAGTCTCATTGAGACTCAAGGACTCATTTACAAGAGAGACCTCATTGATGATTAACACGGTTCTGCTCACACCATTTGTCATGACTGGAGGTTTTTACTCTGATGTAATCTGCATTTATCTGGAACTTGAATGAAGAAAGTTCAGCCTAAATCCACTAACTCGTTCTAATTTGAAGCTGATGGGAACGGACCACCTGATGGTGCATCTGATCTTCCTCGGTCTTGTCTCTAGAGGCTAACCCTGGTAGTGATAAGATGAATCGATCAACTCCCATGTGCAGATGTACTTGTTTGGGTCAGTAATGAAGTCTGTTGTTCTGCAGGAACACCAGCGAAGGACTAGTGGAGACACTGGATGTTGTCACAATCCATGGCAATGTTCCTGTGAGAAAGTTTGCTGAGCAGAACCGGCTGCGGACCCACAGCTGGCCTCCTGACGTCGCTGAAGGACAGTTTGATGTTGGTGTCATCGTGTCGTTTGGTCATTTACTCCAGCAGAGACTTATCAACATGTTTCCATAGTGAGCCTTTTTGTTTTCACCTGACGAAGAAGCTGTGATGCTAAAAACTAACACATAAAGGATACCAGGACAGTTCTGGTTCTGACCTGGCTTCATTACTTCAAGGTTTTAGTCATGTTAACATATATTTTAACACTGCCTCATTCAGTCCAACACTTTTTTTCTGAACAGATGAAATGACGATAAACATCATAGAATATCTTTATTTAAAACACCAGAAGGATCCAATCAGAACCTGTAACCCGGTCCAAAAACTTAAAAAAAACAAAGAATGAAATTAACTCTGGTTATTCCCCCCGACTCCAAGACATAAGAAAATTTTAAAAAGTGAGGGGAAGAAAGAAAAAATAATAATACTTCCAATTTGGTGATCATATGATCAATAAACAGGTACTAATACTCTGTAGACAGGTACTAAAACTTTATCAGTCTTTTTTATTGATTTTATTATTAGAGAAGTTTTACATTTTCTTTCTTGGCTTTTATTTCTGTCTCACTTTTTATTTCAAATTTAGGTCGAATTGTTTGAAAGAAGTCTATTTGGTTTATGGTTTTGTTATTGCCGAGAGACCGTCTCTCCAGCGTGTCCTGGGTCTTCCCAGGGTCTCCTCCCAGTCGGACATGCCAGAAGCTCCTCCCTAGGGAGGCGCCCAGAAAGCATCCTTATCAGATGCCCGAACCACCGCAACTGCTTCTCTCAATGTGGAGGAGCAGTGGTTCTACTTCGAGTCTCTCCCGGATAACTGAACTTTAGACCCTATCAATAAGGAAGAGTCCAGCTGCCCCGCAGAGGAAACTCATTTCAACCGCCTGTATCCGCGATCTCGTTCTTTCGGTCACTACCCAGAGTTCGTGGCCATAGGTGAGAGAAGGAACATAGAGCAGCTGGTAAATGGAGAGCTTCGCCTTACAGTTCAGCTCCATCTTCATCACAACAGACCGGCACAGAGTCCGCAGTACTGCAGATGCTGCACCAATCCGTCTGTCAATCTCACTCTCCATTCTTCCCTCATTTGTGAACAAAACCCCAGAATACTTGGATCTCCTCCACTCGAGACAGAACCTCACCCTCGACCTGAAGAGAGCAATCCACCCTTTTCCGACTGAGGCCTCAGATTTGGAGGTGCTGATTCTCATCGCAGCCGCTTCACACTCGGCTGAGGACCGCTCCAGTGAGAGCTGAAGATCACGGCACGATGACACCAACAGGACCACATCATCTGCAAAGAGCAGAGATGGAATCCTGAGACCACCGAACTGGAATTCTTCCGCCCCCAGCACCCCACTTTCACTGAATACAGTGTTAGTAAAGAGCTGTTTTCCCTTCCTCAGTCGCTTGATGGTTTGCCAGAATCTCCTCGAAGCCGACCGAGAGTCTCTATCCAGGGTCTCACCGAACTCCTCCCACATCTGAGCTTTTGCCTCAGCAACAGCCAAGGCTGCGGACCGCTTGGCCCTCCGGTACTCCTCAGCTGCCTCCGGAGTCCCACAAGCCAAAAAGGATCGATGGGACAGCCTCTCTAATTCGGAGTGTCCACCACAGAGTTCGAGGATGGCCACAGCGAGAAGCACCAACAACCTTGTGGCCACAGCTCAAGGCAGCCACCTCAACAACTGAGGTGTGAAACATGGCCCACTCTGACTCAATGCCCCTGCCTCAGCTGTGATACGGTTAAAGCTCTCCTGTAGGTGTGAGTTGAAGACATTTCTGATGGGTTCTGCTGCCAGGTGTTCCCAACAGACCTTCACTATACATTTGGATCTACCAGGTCATTCCGGCATCTTCCCCCGCCATCTGATCCAACTCACTACCTGGTGGTGATCAGTTGACAGTTCAGCTCCTCTTGTCCAAAAACTCATATGGACAGAAAACAGCAAGGAGCTCAGTGATCCATGACGATCCAGACGTGGGTTACCGAGACCCCACCCTGGAGCCAGGCCTGGGGGGATGGGCCATTGGCGAGCGCCTGGTGACCAGGTCTCCACCCTTAGGGCCCGGTTGGGCTCAGCTTGAACGTGCAACATGGATTTGTCTTTCTGTGGGCCCACCACCTGCAGGAGGGGCCATACGAGTCAGGTGCATGACGCCGTGGGTTGTAGTTGGAGGCGGGGGTCTTGGGACTCTGACCCTGGCTTACCAAAGCTGGCTCTTGGGACATGGATTGTGACCTCTCTGGCAGGGAAGGAGCCTGAGCTTGAGCATGAGGTTGAGATGTAGCGATTAGATATAGTTGGGTTCACCTTGATGCACAGCATGGGCTCTGGAACCGATCTCGTTGAGAGGTTCTGGACTTTATTCCACTCTGGAGTTGCCCATGGTGAGAGGCACCGAGCTGGTTTGGGTCTAAGCCCTCCGACTTGGTACCTGTGTGTTGGAGTTTTCACCGGTAGATGAGAGGGTAGCTTCCCTGTGCCTTTGGGTGGAGGAACGGCCTGTGACTGTTGTTTGTGCTTACATGCTGAATGGCAGTTCAGGGTATCCGGCCTTCTTGGAGTCCTCGGTGGAGGTGTTGGAAGGTGCACCAGCTGGGGACTCCTTTATTCTGCTGGGGGGCTGGGTGTGATTGTTGTTATTTCATCCCTGAAAAAGTCTCCAATATATGTACGTCGTTTAATTGTATTCAGTTTTTTCTATTCAGATAAATGTTAAATCAGTTCTTTAGTTTTATTAAGTAAAAGTAAAGTTTCTGTATTTTTAGGAGGTAACTTTAGTTAAATATTCTGTCACATAACCTTATTGTGAAATCAGCAAGTTTCAAACCTGATCTAAAGTAGACTACTGGTTGTCAACAACTAGTTGATCCACTATGTGAAGGTGTTGTTTATAAGACTGAGTTTGTTGTGACTCCTCGGACTGATGAAGTCTTTTGGATGAAAGATGAAACGTTTGAACAAAAAGAATCCGTCCAGAGGACCTGAATGAACTTTGTTCGATTTTTCTACCTGGATTATTGAGCATGAATCAGGAAACTCTGGTTCTGGTTGTGGTTCTGTTGCAGTGGGATCCTAAACGTTCACCCGAGCCTGCTGCCCCGCTGGAGGGGTCCGGCTCCGGTTTGTCACACAGTCCTGAACGGAGACACGGTGACCGGGGTCACTATCATCCAGATCCGTCCTCACAAGTACGTAGAACCATAAATTTAGTTTTTCTACAGTTTTCTGTCAGAACCAGCAGTTGGAGCGTTCTGCTGTTGATCCGTCTGTTAGAATGTTCTAAAAGCTGCAGAACCTGAGGTCCTGCAGCTTTTAGAATGTTCTGCTGCATATTAAAATTTAGCAAATAAATGAAACCCGGTCTCACCAGGTTTGATGTTGGACCCATTCTGAACCAAGACTTGTTCTCGGTACCTAAGGACTCCACTGCTGTGGAGCTTGGAACGTCCCTGTCCATCAGAGGAGGACATCTGGTGAGTCCAGGAAACCTTAAGGAACCATGGTACAGACAGAAACAGAACACGTTCACTCTATTCTCTTTCAGCTGATGGACACGCTGAGGACCCTTCCTGAGAAAATCAGAAATGGAAGGGAGCAGGGAGAGGCCGGGGCCACCTTCGGTACATGGTTCTGGACTCATTCAGACTTGTGAAAAACTATTGAAACTGTCCTCCAACTGTTTTACTTTTGTCCTACAGCTCCTAAAATCAGTCCCTCCATGGGCTGGATCATGTGGGAGGACCAGACCTGTGACCAGATTGCCCGCCTGTACGGGGCCATCGGATTACGGGTGAGAAAAGCTGGGGCAAGGAACTGGACCTGTTCTCAGTTTGACACATGTAGGATCTCTGAATGTCCCTGCAATGTCTCTTTTCTGTCCACAGAGCCCTTTAAAGACCATCTGGATGGGCAGAACAATTAAACTTTTGGACTTTGTTGGAAGGTGGAACATGTCAGGTACTTTCTGTAAATCTGATTGGACCATAAATGTTGGACAGATGAGGACAGGTTTACCTTTGAGTCTCCAAGTCCCAAAAATCACATCTGATCAGTGTTTGGGGTCCAGCCAGACCAGTTTCACATCGACAGGTCATCCCTTCAACCAGTCTGAGCAGAGACCCGTTTTAACAACTACTTCAAATTTTATTATATAATAGGTGTGTACTTGTACAAATATGTGTGTACTTGTACATATTTTTGAGTACTTGTACATATAATATGTGTGTAGTTTTACATTGGTCTATGTACTTTTACATATTTCAGTTTAATATGTCTGTTTTTGAATGTGTGTACTTGTACAAATATGTGCATAGTTGTACATGTGTGTATGTGAATATTTGTGTGTATTTGTACACAAGTGTGTGTATTTGTCTACAGGCATGTGTACTTGTACATTTGTGTGTGAATTTGTACACAGGCATGGGTACTTGTACATTTGTGTGTATTTGTACATGTACATACTTTTACATATATGTGTGTACATGTGTGTGTACACATACTGTATACTTATGTGTGTGTACCAGTACATATGTGTCGATACTTCTACATATGTTTATATTTGTACACAGGCATATGCACTTGTACAATGTGTATTTGTACACAGGTATGTGTACTTGTATATTTGTGTGTATTTATGTACATACGTGTGTATTTGCTGTTAATGTATTGATACCCTGACTGCTCTAACATGAAACGGTCTTTTTCCCACAGAACCGGTCAATCGGACCCCTGGTTCTGTCCACTTTGATAAGACCTCCTGCACGCTGGCTGTTTGCTGTAAGGTTCGTTCACTTTTTATGATTTTCAGTTTTCGTACTTTCGCTGAATTTTTTTTTTGCATTTTTAGCTTCATATCAAAATCTTCCAGAATCTGGTTCTGGATCCAAATATCTGTTCCTATGTTTGGTAAATGTGACAAGAATGAACTTCACGTTTAAATTACGTACTGTAGTTCAGTCAGAGTTTCATTCTGAGGTTCTAAAGGTTCTTTAATGGATCAGAACCAGAAGACCTCACCTGTTAGTTGAAGTCTGACTGTGGCTCAGTCATTCAAACTCGTCTGCAGTAAAAAGCCCATCTCAGCCTGGTTCTGTTGTTTTTGAGCACTTTCAGTGAGTTACACAAGTTTTCACCTCCTTGGTGAACAAAAGTGACTCATGGTTCCTACACTTCTGTGGTTTAACGGTTCTTTTTGTTCTGTTTCTTCCAGGACGGTTGGGTCGGGTTCAGGACTGTGGTTCTGAAGAAAAAACTAACAGCAATTGATTTCTATAATGGCTACTTACATCAAATCTGTCCGAGGAGCTCGGCCAATCAGAGCGCAGCACGTTTCTTCAGTAAAAAACCCGAGGCGCGTAACAAGAGTACAGACTAGCAGAAAGTTCTTATTTATTAACAAACATCAACTTTTACTGATTAGTTTATTTATATTTGTATATAATAAACAAGGTGCTGATTAAAAAAGGAGCTGTGGATATTTTTTATTACATTTACCTGTTTGAAGATGTTACGTAGCAGAAATGTTATAACTCAGAATCAAGTTTACGTAACGTTTTTAAATTTGTTTTCAGCAAAAATCACCATCCAAAAGTTTATTACAAAAGAATCTTCCAAGCTTATTTTGGTAGCAGAAATGAAACCGGAATGGAGGAAGAAGAAGGTTTTAAATTTGTTTTCAGCAAAAATCTCCATCCTGACATTCAAACGTCAGTGCAAATGATGGCAAATTACAGAGAAAAATCCATCAGTGAGATTAAACAGTGCGCTGTGAACGTGTTTGAGGCACGTTGTCATGCCAAGACGCCCATAGAAGTGTTTCCTGGTGTAAAGGTTAAACCCCACTCCCTAGAATTAGAAGGAAGGCGTGCATCGCCACCCCCTCCTAAAAAGGGAGAAAAAAGGCAGTATTTTCAGACTAACAAACCGCATCATGAAGGTGCACGCTGGGATAAAAAGGCTCCTCCTCCAGAGGACGAACGTGATTATCGTAAATGGGACCAGCGGAGGACGCAAAAAAATGGGAACCGAGAGGAACCCCAAAAAGACGTACCTACCCGCCCCCCACCTCGGACGAAACGTCCAGAGGCGAAAAAATCACAAAAATCCCAGAAAAAAGGCCCTCCACCTCTGAGCTCGGAAGAGACAGAAAAATTGCGTGAAATGTTAGAAGATTTGAAACACACTGACAAGGGAAGCCGACCAAAAGCACTATGCAGTGAGGTACTCACTACAGCATCTCTGGGCGCGAATGACAACACTACAGATGTCGGTGAAACACACCAAGACGTTGCTGTTGTTGCCTCAAACAACCCCTCATCGGATGAAAGGGGGGTAATCACACACACAAACGATGACCAGTCATCGCAAGCTGAACACGCAGAAACAGCTACAGCTGTGCTGACGGTTCAGACAAACCAAGATTACACAGATAAATCTGAACGCGTGAAGAAGCGTCAGAAAAAACCCAAAAGGTTTCTGTGTAACTTTATCAGAAAGGGGGCCGCCAAAAAGGCGTACCTGTCAGTAACACTCGAAGGTGTCCTCACACACGAAGCACTCTTGGACGGTGGGGCAGACATAACTATTATGTCAGCTAAACTGTTCGAGGAGCTGAGGACAGCCGCAGCCGAGAAAAACAGGATAATACCTCTATCTGATTGTGCTATAGAAATGCAGGGTCTCTCGGAGAATAAAACAACCCTGACAGCTATAGCAATGGTTCACATGCAGATTGGCAATATGACACTGTACCACCCGGTACACGTGACCCATGTTGACTCATTCCCATTTTTGGTTGGCCAGGATTTTATAAATCGCTTCAACGCGATTATAGATTATGGTGATCAAACAATGTGGACAACAGTGAGAAAACCACTGCCAATAGAAACGCCTCCGGAGTGTGACACAGACTGCCCAACAGCAGGTACCGCGGAAGGCACAAAGGACTCCTCAGCCGAGGACACGAGCCCGGTGAGTACTCCTCTAACACCATGTGAAACCAAAGAAACCCAAGTGGTCCAAACTCTGACTCAACAAGACAGCCTCCTCTGTGAGCTGGAACAGGCAGAGTCCACCAAACACTACCTACCACTGGTAGTTAAGGGTGTAGAGATCCAAGGGTCCCACACCAACGATGCTGTACTGTCTCTGTGGACAGATAAATCAGCAATTAACCGAGCTTTCTACGAAACCTTGGTTCACAAACACGTTGGTCTAGAACTAATTAAAAAAGCTTTCCGCTTTCCATTAGTTCCCAATAGTTCACAGGTAATGACCGCAGAAGGACTCATTAACCTAAAACTGAACTGGAATCAACGAGAACTGGTTCACCCATTTCTCGTTATCCAAAACTTACCACATGCATCCTACATAGGCTCTGACATTTTGGTAAGGTTGGGTGTCCACGTGGACACCATCAACAAGGTGCTGTGGTCCCTCAAACCAGCCACAAAGGATACTCCTGTGCTAGACACAGCAAGCCTTAAAGCTGGGCAGACCATTCCAGAGGCCTGCCAGGTTGCTAGCAACCAAGACACCACAGTACCACCTCAGGTGCTTAACCTAATGGTGCGAATCCACATAATAGCTGGACAAGCTATTAGCCATAAACAGGCATATTTTCAACCCTCTCCTGCATTTTTCAACTTGGGACTGTCCGTGGAAGCCACGAACCAGGTGAGTCTTGACTCCAGGACCACATCTATTGCTGTGTGTAACACTGGCATGGATGAGGTGCTGATCCCAAAAAAGACTATGCTAGGATGGTTGATTTCAACTGACTTTCATGATTTTGAACTAGGCATTCCATTTCTGGGAGGACTCCCAGACAACCTGGTACCGAGTCAAGAAGCTGGGCCAGTATGGTTCACAAAACCAACACAGGCCATAGCTCTTTTCTCAACC